CACCATCACTATACCCATCACCACCACCACTACCCCATCACCAGCACCACCTCCGCCGCCATCACCACCACCACCATCACTGTTTGATTTTATGTCCTAACATCGTATATAGTTTTCATTATTATGTTTGTTTTAATTTTTGTTGGATTTTAGTAAAAACAAAATTTTTTCGTAAAAATTCAAGAATTTTTCAACAGATTTTGGACATGTCCTTGAAATTTCTGAGTTTTTTTATTCGAACTCCGAAATATTAATTTGGTATCTAAAATATTTGTTTGAAATGTATTTTTTTGTCAAAAAAAAAATATTTTGTTCGGTCTAGAATACCCCATATCGGAATTGATGGTTATTTTGCCCCGAAAAAAATATAAATATGTTCTTTGAAAATATACATTGTGGTTAGTTTAATGAATTTCCTTAAACATAAATCATGATTCTCGTCTAAAAAGTTTGTTGGGGGACCAGCAAAAAATTTAAACACTACGACTGAAACTTCATGATTTCACCTTCAGCATATGTAAAATGCTTAACAACTCCTTAAAGTTTTAAGTATATACAAAATTCACCCAATTGAAACGACAACGTCTAATTTGTTTCCCCTAATTTTTCTTTTTGCCTCCCTCCTCGCGAAATCACTCCTAATTTCAAACTCTGTAAACCCTAGCGAAAAATTACGCGCGCTCAGATCTTGAAACTATGGCGATCGCAAGGACTGGAGTTTTCGTCGACGATTACTTGGAGTGTAAGCTTTATTTTTCTATGGTTTATTTATTGAATTCAAATTGTAAACTTTTGTTCTGATTTCGCTGGTTTTTTTATGCTGAATTTTGTAATAGACGCAAGCACATTGCCAGCAGAGTTACAGAGGCTTCTCAACACCATAAGAGAACTCGATGAACGTTCTCAATGTACATTTCTGTCTTCTGATCCAATGATACACACTAACACAACGCTAATTATGCACCATATACATGTGTTTGTGATACGAAAGGATATGAGGACATGTTTAAAGTCTAGCAATTGACATAACACCGATTTGAAAAACTTAATCTTATGAAAAATTCAAGAAAACATAGATCAATTGATATTTGTGATGCGGATATGGTTATAGTCTGCGTATTTTAACATGGTTCTCAATTTCAGAAACAATCTGAAAAGCCTATCTTCTTTGAAACAGCAAAGAGAATAGCAAATAGCAATTGTGAATGTAGTTAATCAAGGGTGTCTTACTTGTGTTATAGCCATGATAAATCAAACAAGACAACAGACAAAAAACTGCTTGGACATGGCTTCTCAAAACACCCACAAAAGCCTTCATGAAGACACTGACATGGCTTTTGAGAAGATGAAGAAAGAAATTGAAGCAAATCAAGATAATGCTTTAAGCCTATGTACTGAAAAGGTTCTTCTTGCAAGACAAGCTTATGATCTTGTAAGTTTCACTTTCTTTTCTTTCCTTCTTCCATTCAACATCTCACATTCCAACATTTCCATATTCAAGATTCTTCTTATTAACATTCAGATAGACAGTCATGTAAAACGTCTTGATGAAGATCTACACAACTTTGCTGAGGATTTAAAACAAGGTGTGATTATGATCAAATCCAATCTACTTTCAGTTAAAAAAACTGCAATGTTTGAGTTGACTGTTTGACTTTGATTGTTTGTAGAGGGAAAATTACCAGCAGATGAACCAGCAATACTTCCTCCATTACCTTTAGTTCCTAAAATTGAGAAGAGAAAATTACCATATATTGTTCCTCAATCTAAGAAGCTTGATTATAGAGATAGGGAATGGGATCATAGAGATAGAGATTTTGAGCTGATGCCTCCGCCAGGTGGCTTCAAAAGGGATTATTCCACTGCCACTGCAACTGCCACCTCATTGGATATTGATCAACCAATTGATCCAAATGAACCCACATACTGTGTCTGTCATCAGGTAAAAAAAAATTACATAAACCATTTTATCTATTAAATAGTGAAAGTATGTTGTGCTTTTCTGTATTTTGCTTTTTTTTTTTTTTACTTTATCAAGTAAAAATGATTTCAATAGCATGATCTTTCCTTTTTTTTTCTTCTTCAGGTTTCCTTTGGTGATATGATTGCATGTGATAATGAAAATGTAAGTTGCTATTACTTTCTTCTTTATATGATTGCATTCATCAATTAAGATATTATTCTTAAGGCCAAATAAGTAATCCCATATGGGTAAAGAATGTCTGTTTGGAATTTGGATATACTGAATGAGACTAAATGACCATTTTACCCTTACATTCCAAAAAGACAAATTTTATAGATCATGATATTCATCAATTTAAATGAGTGGAGTTGGGAGGAAAAAAGAAGAAAGAAAAATAGGTAATGGGTTTGTCACATTATATTATTGTTTTTTTATCTTTATTCATTTTTTATTTTCTGGGTCTTATTTTTATTGAATAAAAATAAATAAAAAATAAAGATTTATTTTTTTTGGTTTTTACAGTGTCAAGGTGGAGAGTGGTTTCATTACTCGTGTGTTGGGTTGACTCCTGAGACAAGGTTCAAGGGGAAGTGGTATTGTCCAACTTGCAGACAACTTCCTCTGTAAATAAGTTGTTTTTAAAAAAGAAGAAGATTGTTTGGAAGGAAATTCTAGTTTTGGAACCCTTGAGGTTTATATATTTATGTTTGATTTTTGAATTATGTTATTTGTATTATCAATAAATCTCGTATTTGGATTTTTTGTTACAAATGCAAAACTATTTTTCGTGCAAAATTACATAAAATCACTACACTTCACAAAAAAAAGGAAATGGGGGTTTGTTATAGAAACTTCAAACCAAAGTAGTGCTCCATGAGTTGTTTCGTTTTGCAAAATATAGTATTTTTGAAATGTTATTTGAAGTAATTTTTGGATTAGTAGGTTGTTGTTTTAAATAAATAAATAAAAAATTTAATCGTACTTCCAAAGAGAGTAATTTCTTTAATCGAGATTAAAAAACTAAAAGACAAAACTGCACAAATGGTCTCTGTGGTATGTCGAAAAATGTCACTTTGGTCCAAAAAAGTTTGCATTAGCGTCAGTGGTCCAAAACTTTCATTTTGTTACGTCTTTGGTCCAATCTGTTCTGATTATTTTCAAAATGACGGATCTACCCCTACCCCTGTTAATATGATTTTCTTTTTTTTTCTTATTTGTTTTTCTGATTTTCCGATTTAAAAAAAAAACAAAAAAATAAAAAACTCTCTCTCTCCCTCTCATTGCGGCCATAAAGCACCGTTCCTTCACCATTGTTGGAAAAAAACTTCACCATCTCGCCTCCTTTTCCCTCCCTCTCATTGAATTACTGTCAAGGATCGAAGAGGGAATCAAGGGCAGTCAAGGGCTACCGCCCACTGCCACCGTGACCCACCACCATCCAACATCCCCTGACCTCTAATCTATTTCCCCATCCTTCTTCGTTTTTTTTTTCTGAATTGAGAAAACCACCAATGAAGGTGGAGACTTTCCGGCAAGGAAGACAACCTGCAGCCACATATTTCGGCCACCACCGGCCCCTCTCCACACCCATTCACTTTCTCCGCCGATTCCGACCAGATACAGAGTAACCGGAGCCGCTGGAACGGACTCCGACCACCACAGTAGATCGTCGCCGCCGCCTTGCTACTCATCGCCGATTCCGACCAGATACAGAGGGGGGTAGGGCTGAGTTGTGAACAAAAGATTCGCTCAGGTCCGATGACTCCCCAAATCACAAAAGCATCAAATGTAACTTTGAATTTGGGGGATGTCGATGGAATTTCGGGATGAAGCCCCGCGAGATTCATCATCCCTACAACTAGGGTTCCGACGAGCTGAGTTGTGAGCATGCATCGAGGTGGGATCTTCATGTGGTGTCAAGAAGTTGGTGGTGTCCGATGGGATTCCACAGCAGGGGCGACGGATTCCACAGCAGCGGCGACGGAGGGCGGCGATGGTAGCCCTGCTGCTTTTGCTTTCCTGTTCCGACGGGTTTGACGAGAGGGAAGGAGAAGGAAAGGGTTGTGGGTGGTGGGTTGATCGGCGATGGCAGGAGGGTAGATGGGTGGTGGAAGCGGTATGTTTCGGTGGTCCCTGGTGGTTTTCCGGTGGCCTCACTATCGGTGGTTTTTAGCCGCCCTCAGTGGTGGTGTTTTTCGTCGGCAGTGGGTGGCAGCCCATTGCTGGTTTTTATTGCTTTAGTCAACAGAAAACCAGAGAGATATAATTTTTTATTTTTATTTTCTTGTTTTAGAGAGAGAGATTTATTATTATTTTTATTTGTTTGTTTGTTTTTTAAATTAGAAAATCAGAAAAACAAATAAGAAAAAAGAGAAGATGGGTAGATCTATCATTTTGAAAATAATCAGAACAGATTTGACCAAAGACGCAACAAAATGAAAGTTTTTGACCACTGGTGCTAGTCCATACTTTTTTGGACCAAAGTTGCATTTTTCGACATACCACAGGGACCAATTGTGCAGTTTTGTCAAACTAAAAACTAAAAGTTTTTAGACGAAACTGCAACATTGGTCCCTGTGGTATTAAATGAACTTTGGACAGGGTCCAAAAAATTTACTACTTACAAGAAAGGTCCAAAATCAAAACATTTATGTGATTTTGGTCCAAATAAACTTGAAAATACGATTATGCCCTTTTATTTTATTTTTTGTATTTTCTTAAATCTATATTAATACATTTACAATTCAAAAAAATATATATTAATTTACCCCTCCCCCTCTCTAATTGGCTCTCTCTCTCTCTCTCTCTCTCTCTCTCTCTCTCTCTCTCTCTCTCTCTCTCTCTCTCTCTCTCT